AAGGATCGATAAGCGCAATTTATTCTTCAGTACGAGAGTGGTTACAGCGTAGAATGCGCGGAATGATGCACTCTGCACCTTTATAAATACATTCCAGAGCACACTAGACATGTATCAAGCATCGCATTCACCAGCTTCATATGTACATATGTGAGCATATACATATGACGGGCATTACATATATATGAGTGTACCTATATATTTTGAGCATAACTTACATTTTACTACTCGTGCTAAATTAGAAGCAATTCATGATAACTCTTTCGCTATGAACCAAGAACTACGCTGCGAGTGCAGCTTGTACACCCTAAGCATTTGGATGACTATTTAGACAGAGGAGAAGTAGTTTACAGAAACTACTGTGGCAGCTGCAATGCAGTGTATTGTGTACAAACAGGAAAATCGGCCTCTAAACGCCCATACGAACACCAGTTAGCAGTAAATAGACGAAAAACAATTCTCACAAGTTGGCGTGAATACACGTGATACACAGCCGATAGTGTCGTTTACAGTTATGAGGTGTATTCAACAAAATCTTTTAACAGCATTTATTCTCAATGTGTGTGAGACTGCGTGCGATTGATGACAATGAACGCTCGCCGGCTGTCTTACAAATCAGAGGGAATGAAGTTTAGGACGTGCGTAAGCTCGTATTCCCATCTTTTATGCTTGTTATACAAATATAGGAATAAATTACTAGAGTATACTATCCGCTGGTCTTACTAAGTATGATTACGAGAATTAGCACTCTAAACAGTGGCATATTACCTCTAGCAGCAGTATCCTAGCGCAAACTTAGGAAAATGTGACCCAGCTTTTGGTGGACAGAAGTGAGAGGGCGGAAACCATAGAAAATCCTGATTTACTCCGGGCCTCAAACAAGTAGTTACTCGGAATAGCATAAACCCAGATTCACACTCCCTGCTGGGATCGAGGGGATAAGAATAGACGTTATGTTAAGTCCAAGCTACTGTAGTAGGCCTATGGACGGCGAACTTTACGACATAAAGGCCAAGTAGGACCTGTGCTATTATTTAATAACGCTTTATTTAATCCATAAGCGAATCATTTTATCTCATACTGATTGTGAGTGCATACTTGCTGCCGATTTCTTAAAAAGCAGACTTTACTAGCCTTAGTAAGCATGATTACTAGCATTAACACTTAAGAATAGGAAGAACTTCCAGCAGCAGCTTAGTAGTCCAAACCTAGTAGAAACAGACACAGCCTGATGGATAGATTTGAGAGGGTGACAACCAAGGCAAGCTCTGCTGTGCTCAGGGCCCCAAACATGTACTTATTCGGAATAGTTTAAACCCAGATTCACACTCCTTGTTGAGATCAAGGGGTATGAGCCCCACTGTTGGCTTTAATAAGCGTCACCTCTGACGAATGGTAGCGTCAGTGTTATTACCAGTATTACTACATTTCTTGTTGAGATTGAGGGGATATCAGCCAAGTACTGACTTTAATCAGCGTCACGTCTGACTAATAATATAGCCAGAAATAGTACCAGCAACACTATCACTCAGCTACACCTCTACTTAGTAGTATTGTAAATAGCAGTAGTAGCAGTAGCAGTACTGGCATTTATTTACTTGAGTCTAGCTTGGCACCTGCTGAAGGTCAGTGAGGGTAAATAGTGCGGTAGTAACAGCGGTAGTGCCACTTATGACTAAGTAGGCGGTGTTCTGGCCTGTATTGGTGAAAGCGGCTTATGCCCGATTGCTGCTCGGTCATCTTGACTTTTATCTTGTCACCGGTTCGAGCGGGGAGAGGGCTTAGAGTGTGGTAGATGTTTGCTCGTTTACTTTCGACATACCTGATTACAGTCACCACACCTGCTCTTGGGCATATGGTGGAAATAATCGAAATCGATCGTCGAACTATCACGACTGTCTGAAAAAATATGCTCAAATATGCGTTATAAATATGTTAATTTTCGTAAATCGTTGGCATACACCACCCGATAATTATGAGAATGCGTAGGAGAGTAGACATCAATGGGCTATTCATACTTTTAAACTTCGAAGGAAACCATGCACGAAGCCTTGGACGTTTTTACGTCAAAGTACCCTACGCCCCCAATTATATGTTTTAAGGCGATCCACTAAACGATTCAATATAAGCACGGATGTATTACGGGAATTATAAATGAGAAATCAAATTTAACATCTATAGATGAGTGAAAATAGACATAATCAAAAGTAAAACCTCTACGTCGTACGAATTACCTTGTGGATCTACCGCAGGTCCGTCCACGACTCAATGCACGGTCAACCATTTCCTTGCGTGGGCGTTAGAGGCATTCTCAAAAATGACGTTTTTAATAGAACGCAGTACCCTTCGATGCACTATGCTTACGTCAAAGTAAATACAAATAGTTTGGTTTTTTGCAATCCACTTATGTTACTTTGATGCACCGGACAATCCACCGCATATGATCCAGCGAGATGTCACCAAAAAAGGTGAATAGCCTACTTGCTTGGACATTAATTTGTGCAAGTTGTCCTAAATTTGTAACATCCGGGGGTTTTCCCTTTCCCATCTCCAGGACCTGCAAATCTGTGAACTTAGCAAAGCACTTCAAAGCGATATTCCAGAGAACTATTGAAACTTCCGCAGAGAACACAAGGTGATTTGTTTAAACATTACTAATGCAATATGGGAAGATGATTGACTTTTATTACACTTTCTTCTATCCAGACCATAATTTGATACTTTATAAATGGATTCCGATTCCCATATCACCTAGGAGAAACATTAGGCTTACCTGTTGAGAAGATAAGGCGATCAAGGGGGAAAATGGATTTTTTTCCCGAGGTTTCGGACTCAAACAAACTTCCACCCTCGGAGGCGTTTTACGCACCGAGGTTCATAGTAATTATGGCAATTGCTAATCTCAGGGTCAGCCGTCTACGCTGCACTGTGGATTCAACGCTTGTTCTCATGTATGCAGAGGCTCTTCTTGATCTTCTCGTAAAGGGAGAGAGGGCGCTATTGGCTGCGTTCGAACTATCCGTTATTCACGTTCGCCGTCATGCCGCGTCCGCATCTGCCCGC